TTCGAATGATTTGCTGATGATTTATTTGAGAAAATGTTGTTTTTTTAGCTTCGAGTATAAGTCGTGGTCAAAGTATGTGTAGTCCATCATTATGTCAAAATAGCGGAACTTGTCAAGAACAAGGAGGCACACCTATTTGTATTTGTAAACCAGGTTTTACTGGTCAACGATGTGAATCTGGTAATTAAATAAAATTTTTTTTCGCAATAAAATTTTGTTTTCTTTTTTTTAGAATATTTCCGTTGCCAAGCTAATGGTCGTTTCCCTGATCTATCAAGCTGTAAACAAGGTCGATACTTTGAATGTGTATATTTTGGACAATGTAAGTTAAAAAATAAAAAAACAATTTTATGTTTATATGAAATTATTATTTAGATGATTTGGGTCTACCCAATGGAGTTCTATATAGTCGTAGTTGTCCGCCTGGTCTTTGGTTTAATGCATTGAGTGATCAATGTGATTATCCAAGTCTTGTGCAATGTTAAATAAGAATATCAAATGGAAGACTTTGGTTTTTTTTTATAATCGGCCCTTTTACACATTTCTTTCGAACTTTTTTTGTTTCTCGGTGCTATATTGTCTCCCTCTCTGTTTCTCCTTTATCTCATACTTTTAGACGACTATCTGTAGATGTTTAAATTGTTTTCTTCTTCTTATTCAATAAACATTCTTTGACAAAAAAAAACAGACGTTCATTTATAATGGTTATAATACTCATAAATCTTGGTCACGAACGATTAATTCTATTAGAATCAACATCTAAAAACTCACATCACAATCAATCAATTCTTTGCTTTTTCTCTCGTGTGTCACAAGGATGACAAGGGGTTTCTTTCATTTTTATCGGCTGAACGATACGAAAAACAAACAGAAAGAAACAGAATGTATATCTTTACAAGCAACCAATTTGACTCGTGTAAAACGAATTAACTTCCGGTTTTCTCTTGCTTTTATTGTCATGAAGGAGATCACGACATTTACTTTAAAAAGAAGCAAAGATAAATGTTTTTTCTTTTCCCTTAAGAGATTAAATTAGGACGACTGTAGCGAACGTTTAGATTCAAGTGTTAGTATTGCTTTTGCATGTTAGACAGATAAAATGAAGAAGCACGAACGACTACTCGTCATTGTGAAAGCATATAACGTTATTTCATAAACTGCCTATTATGTTAAATCATTTATTCATACGACGATAATGAATGTGGTCTTTAGTTTTTCTCTTAGTATTATTCATTGGAAATCGAGGTAAACTAAATATGAAAATATTACGATATTAAAATGATTTTGCTTTAGAAATTGAAGCAATTTCATGCTATCAATGTTCAATGAAATATTCAAATGTTGAATGTAATTCAAATAATTCAAGTTATTTTACAGATTGTCAACCAACATTTGATACATGTTTAACCATTGTACTTAAACCAGGTAGAATTGTAGGTGTTTCTTTCTTTTTTGATTTATTCTAATAAAAATTTTTAGATAATTTTGATGAAATAATCATTACAAAATATTGTACAAAACGTAATGCATGTGAACGTCAACAAAATTATACACATTCTTTAACACCTTGTGAACCCAATAGTGAAGGTCGAAGTTGGGGTTGTGTTTCATGTTGTGGAGATCGAGATTTATGTAATTATGATGATTCAAATCGATTAATACCAAATATAAATATAGCAAGGATATTTTTATTTGGTGTTTTACATTTTTTTCTTTAGTTATTAATGAAAAAAATACGACTTTTCAGAAATAAATATTCTTTTTAAATAATTTCTTTCGTTATAAGAATTATCCTAATCATAGAAAAGTCGATTTCTATCAAGTTTTGTAAACATCATGTTAATCTACAATTCCATTTACAAACTTTTATGGTATCGTCTAATCAATATAAAAGAAAGCGGCGTACTAAGTGTCGTCCTCCTCTAGAATTAGTTCTATTTATAAACCAATTGGGATTTAAGCAATAAAAGATATTAAATTATGAATGAAGATACTCTTCAAAAGACAAATCTTCTCTTTATTTCATGCAGCTCATTAAATGTCAAGTTAAACAGAAAGAAGAAAAAAAATGATATTACTTTTTTTCTAACAATCCAAGACTTTGTTCGTTGCTGCTTTCAATATTAACTTTTTAAATCGAGATAGCGTTGTTTGACAAAGCGAGGCTTCATTTCTTTCTTTTCTTTTACTGTGTGTCAATATATATTATTTACTATGAATGAACTTTTTTTAATATATTGACGCATCAAGCATGAGAGAAAAATTTTGTCTGAATGACTGATATTTATACGCAACATCTACCTAGACGCTCAAAGAACTTTCATTGATGCCGAAAGCTAACAGAAAGAAAAAAATCTAAAAAAAAGCACGCCCTGAATATAGTTAATAACTATGTTGCGTTTCCATTTTACTTCTCAGAAAAAAAAACGAGAAAAAAAGAAATTTTCTTTTTTTTCTTTGAAGACAAGGACGGCTGGTTAAAATAATAGAGTGCATTTTGGATTTACAATGACATCATATAGACAAATGCAGTCAACACAATTTCGACATGATTCTACAGAATCTGTAAGAAATAATTAATTACAGTATTTCCAATACATATTAACAATGTATAGATATTTATATACGCTCGGAAAAAAATAGTTAGACTCTGTATTTTGAATATATTTCCACTATAAAAACACATCTTTTTTTTTAAAGTAATTACATATTCTGAAAGTCCATGAAGTTTTCTATCGCTCTGTATAAGTAGGTTTTAGTTGAGAACTATTCATTACTAAAATAAATTGAGTGCAACTAAGACACTCGCATATTGAGATTCTCACAAATTAATTTTGTCATTGTCATCAAAATTAGTATTTTAAATTTTCTATCACTGTAGTATTGTGTTTCTAAAAAAAAGTAACCGTGGATTCTGATAGAATTTGAAATTCTCTGTCACCCTAAATGTTGACTTATTTTCTTATATTTATTTATTGAAGAAAAAGCTTGAGTAAACTAATCCTTTCAGTCCCAAATTATTTCTGTTGGATTCAATTCAAGTAGACTGCTAGATTAGCTTAGTTTAGACACAAACACAAGACATAAATATTTCGTGTGCACTCGCATGTGTTGTATTCAGTATAAGTTTTATTGAATTTTGTTATACTTGAATAGAAATTTTAATTGCTAAAATTTATTAATTGCAAAAGTTATACAAGTTTTTCATGAAATAACAAAAAACAATTTTGATTTTTTTTACACAAACAAAAATGCCACAAAAACTGCATTTTATACTACTAAACACTGGAGAAGCTCTCGTACTGCAATATCTGTATCTTCTTTTAGGTCCAGCAACAGGCATATGTGCTAACAACTGAGCTGATAGAGATTTTTCCCCAGCGTTTGTTGAATTTGTTTTTGTTTTTGTTTTCTGACAGAAAAGTGAGTAAGTTCGCCTCTTCTTTTCCGTGAACTTTGGTCACCAATCAGAACTTGCTCAATGAACGACTATATATCTCCTTTGCAGATACTTGGGAAGGATTCTAGAGCACTCCTTATTGCTTCATTTCAAGAGATTAGGTACTAATTTTTACAAATTATGTTGTGAAAAATAATTATAAAACATGTGAAGCTTTTTTTCTACTATGAGACTGAAAGGGTTAAACACACCGTCAATCGACAAGTACCAAAGATCGTTGCTTTTCTCGTCTTCTCAAAATATGGTTATAACTCAAAAAAAATTTGAAAAAAAGTAATCATAGATTCTGATAAAGCTTGAAATTCTCTATCGTTCTATGCAGAGATGGGCAGCTCCGACTCCTGAGCGCCCGCTCCATGGAGCTAGCTCCATCCCAGGAGAAGAGCGGAGTGATTCGTCAGAACGGTGGAGCTGGGGCGGAGTCGGAGCGACCTTCTTTTTCCTATCTTCAACCATACGTTCATTTTTCGCTTTATTCTTCTGTAAACAAAGACGGAAGAATTAGTGATACAAAAGTTCGTCATCGACTATTCATTACAGTGAATGTGCCATTGTTACATTTTAAACCATAACAATACTTGAGACAATGACTAACCATTCATTTAGTCGATTGTTCTATAGCTTATTTGACTGCGCTATTGTTAGTTTGAAAATATAAGAACACGACATCGATGAAGAGAGAAAATTTGATATTGAGTGAATCCGTGGGGTTTCTACCACTTTGTGGAAGAATGGTATTCTGTGCCAATGTTCTGAAAGAAAGATTTCTTTTCGCTTTTAATAGTCTAGTTAGATGTATCATAGTCGAAAACAATCTGAGGCAACAATTAAAACCTTTTTGAACATATAAAGTATAGAGAACTACATTATTTTTTAGGAACATTCCACACCGATAAAGGGCAACCCATAATAACTGATGATAATTTATTCATCATATTTTTCATATTTTTTGTTGACATAGAGAGCTAAAATTTTTATCACATGTATATCTAATCAAGATCTTTTATTTCTGAAATTTTCAGCTCTCTAGCTAAAACTAATGGTGAAATACATCAAATTTGCACTCGATTTTTCCAATAATTTAACAGTAAAAATATGCAAAAATCAAGTACGAAACTTCATGTATTTCAGTCTTGTCAATGTATTTCACCATTAGTTTTAGCTAGAGAGTTGAAAATCTCAGAAGTAAAAGATCTTGATTAGATATAGATGTGATAAAAATTGCAGCTCTCTATGCCACCAAAAAGTATGAAAAATATGATTAACAATTTATTATAGGACACTCTTTATGCGTGTGGAGTGTTCCTAAAAAATGATTTGATTCTCCACACTTTATATGTCCAAAAAAGTTTTAATTGTTGCCTCAGACCGTTTTCGACTATGATACATCTAACTAGACTATTCAAAGCGAAAAAGTTTTTTCAATAAAAGTGGTAGAAATCCCACGGATTCACTCTATTATGAAATCTATGAGAAGTAAGCTATGACAGAACAGAAAATATTTCTCATTCAACTGAAAGTTGAATGAACAAAATTTTTTATGGCAAAACAATCATGTAATCGATCGTCATCGTTAACTGATCAAGATGATGACTCCAATCAATCATCTTCTTACCCTAGTCAAGAATTCCTAAACGAATCCCTGGTGAGTCCCACACTCATCCTCGGTCCCTGATGGAATTCCTCTCACGATTTCCCAGGGACTTCGAGGGAATTTTATAATGAGGTTTCACTTGGGGTGGATATTATGATAAGAACGTCGTGTACAATCGTTTGCAGTCATCGTAAGTCTCATGGTATATTCCTGACGAGTCCCTGGCAAATCCTCAGGAATTCCCTAGCAAATTCCCAGAAACTCCCACGTCAATCCCTGGGGACTTCTTGACTCTCTCGTAAATCCATAGGGAACCCCTGCCGGGATTCCTCAGGAAATTTTGACAGGAACTTCCCATGGATTCGTTTAGAGATTCTCGACTAGGGTATTCATACTTGCACCGGCTACCTCCGCTCTGCACTGTAAAAAATACGCGCAGAATAATAAATCCTTGAAAAAGGTTTGTTAACCTAATAAATCCTTTCATATACCCTTTTTCGGGTATATTAGTATCGTAAGTTCTTTCATATATCCTTTCAGTTCATAAACCCTAGGAAGAGAATTTTATACGTTGCACTTTTATAAACTCTTTAGGGTATATGAGCAGTAATGTACCCTTAAAGCGTTTATTAACTTCATAAATCCTTCAGAAAAGTGTTTTGTATTCTACGATTTCTTCTAAAGGGTACATGAATAAACGCTTTTTTCGAAGGGTTTATGAAGTTAATAAACGCTTTAAGGGTATATTACTGCTAATATACCCTAAAGAGTTTATGAAAGTGCAACATATAAAATACCCTTCCTATGGTTTATGAACTAAAAGGGTATATGAAAGGGTTTATTATTCTGCGCCTACTTCTTACAGTGTAGTTCAAAGGGTGTTTTCCTCGAGCGGCATACTCATGTGTCCTCATTACAGTAGACTCCCTAAGAATATGCTCTCAATGCTTACTTTACAAAAAATGCAATCGACATGTGCTGTAGTTCACTAGTCTATTTGACATTGTAAATAATCTTCATACTGTAATCAGGCTAAGTTAAATATATTGAGAATTAGTTTGTTTTGTCTATATTATATGTATATATGTTGAAATAAAACGTCAAATTTACTGCACATCATCAAACTTCAACAAAATCAGCAAAAACAAGTTTCGTTACAACGGAGCTAGAGCGGAGTCGGAGCGGAGCGGAGCGCTTCGTAATTTCGGTGGAGCTGAAGCGGAGCCGGAGCGGGTGTTTTTTTTATGGAGGTTGAAGCTGGAGCGGAGTGGGAGCGGAGCGACTCGTTAGTGACTGGAGCTGAACCAAGAGATGGTCGGAGCTGTCCATCTCTGATCGTATGTATTTTTTAACTGCCTTGTAGTTATGTGCTGCAGTACATTCAGCACATAAGTGTAAGGCAAGACAAAAAATATATACGATGATAGAAAATTTCAAGCTGTATCAGAATCTATGGTTACTTTTTTAAAAACACAATACTGTAGTGATAGAAAATTTAAAATACTAATTTCGATTAGGGATGTGCAGTTTCAGTATACTGAGCACCGATAAAACCGCACTGGCGTTCACTGGTACGCTGACGACACTGACACTGAGCGCACTGTCTGCAGTGACACACCGACAATGAGCGAACCGTCTGCAGTGACGCACTGACAGTGACGAGGGAACACCGCCCAGGTGAAGCTCCGCTTTTGGCCTGCCAGTGTCTCCCTGCAGACAGTGCAAATCAGTGTCAGTGTATCACTGCAGACAGTTCGCTCACCATCAGTGCCTCACTGCAGACAGTTCGCTCACTGTCAGTGCGTCAGTGCAGACAGTGACGCTCAGTGTCGGTGTGTCACTGTCAGTAATTCAGTGTTTTCACCGAAACTGCACATCCCTAATTTCGATGACAGTAACAAAATCGAGTCTGTAGGAATCTCAATATGTGAGTGCCTCAATTACACTCAATTTCTTTTGATAATGAATAGGTCTCAACTAAAACCTAATTATACAGGGCGACAGAAAACTGCAGACTTTCAAAATATGTAATTACTTTTGAAAAAGATGTGTTTTTGTAGGGAAAATATACTCAAAATACAGAGTCGAACTATTTTTTTCCAAACATATATATATATATGGGGAGTGGTCAGTCATGAATATCCTGACTTATTTTCTTTGTAAAACCTCAATAGTACATTCGGAGCAGTATGAATTTTTTTATCAGATGCAGTTCATATGTAGTACTAGTAAACATCTATCTTTTGAGTTTCATATCGTGATAAAAGCGACGTGTCTCAGTTATTTTCCTAGACATCATATAGTTCAAGATATTCCGTTTCGACTGAGTTCCTATAATTCTATTTTGACTTTGAGCATCTTAAATAAAATGAAGTATTAGTAAAAGAATGTTATCAGCAAGAACTTTATTTAAAAACTAAGTGTACATATCATTTGGTCTTGTTATGAATAGAAGTTTTCATGAAGCTAAGATTAGACAATAAGCAAATAACAGGTGTACAGGTCCCGCACGAGCGGGGGAGAGTGTACACCCCACAATAATCAAAAATTTTCAGTTTTTTCCAACCACGAGAGCCAGTTTCAACCTAAATTTTACAATTTTTTTGCAAGTTTTTTCTGAAAACACTCCTTTATACCCTCCTCCTCCCCTCCTCCCGCCCCCAATGCACCATATACTCCCTAATATTAGGTCCTTCGTGCGGGCACTGCAAATGTAATTCTTGTTATCTTTTCACAGTCATCGATAGGTCCTTTGTAGTTTTTCAAATCATTTTTTACCTTTTGTCAGTCTAATATCAGTTTTAAATAAGTTTTATAAAGTTATCAGTTCAAAGCTAATCCTGAAATCAATGTCATCTCGAATATCTACCTTGTACATCTTAGAAAATATGAAGAAGTCATGTAAATTCTCGATCTAAGAATTGACTTATGAAAACAAAGTCGTAACGAGATATCTTGAACTCTATGATGTGAAGGAAATACCTGAAACGTGTCGCCTCTATGGCAATACAGAATTCAAAAGATAGACATTTACTAGCACTATATAAGAACTAAATCTAGTCAAAAAAATCATACTACTCTAATGTACTATTCAGGTTTTAGAAAGAAAACAAAATTAGAATATATCTGACTGGCCATTTCCATGTATTATTTTTTTGTTTTGCTTAAAGATATCATCGTTGTGGGTAAAAGCTTACGAACGAATTCCATTGAAAAAGCAAGATGCTCCATTTGCTAATGATGAAAGTAATGATTCACTTGAAGACAATCCAACAATGGATGATAATGATGAGTATGAAAGTAAATCTGATACATCACTACCTATTCAGATAAGTCTAACTAATCTTAACATAAATACAAAATTTCAACCATGGGAAACACTAACAAAACAAGATTTTTTGGTAATTATTATAAATACTGAACAAAATATTGACAACGTAAAGCAAATTATAAAAAACGATTTCTCACGACAAGGTTTGCAATGGACAGATAAAGAAGAACAATTACGTACATGGTATTTTGGATTAACAACACTACGTATTCACTTTACTCAACCGCAAAGCATTGACATTCCGAGACTTTCTTTTTCATCATCTGTGCCTTTTTGGATAACGTTAAAAAAAGAAAAACAACAATATACGTTAAATAATAATATACCAAAGAAAACAATCCGTTATAAACTACAATCAAATTTTGCTGTTTCACTTCGTTATGGTGCACTTATTGATTTGAATCAGTTTTTTTATTCAGAAAATCATTCATGGAAAAACGATGCACGCTCAAAATGGTCTATCTTTTTAAATGATCAATTTAATGGTAGTGGCTCAATTGAATGGATCATAGAAGATTTTGAAAAAAGACAAAAAAAACAGTTATTAGTTTCTAGTATTAATCATTCGATTATTGTCGTTTTACGTAAGGAAGGTTTCGATATATATATTTGTCAAAAATGCAACATGAATGAATTTGAAGCTCGAGCTACAATGAATAATAATCATCATAATATTCATGATAGAGATAGATTACATCAAAATAGGCTCAATGGAAACAAAGATTTTTCAGAAAATGTTCAACAACGATCATCAGGTCATCGATCATATTCAAGACCACGTGATGCTGTACCATTAAGTCATCGACAACATTCAAGACCGCGTGATGCTGCACGATTGCGTTCACCACAGCATGAATCTCAACAACAACGGCAATTTCAATATGAACACTATAAACGAATTGGTGTCAATGGTGGCTGTTATTTTCCTACTATTCAATTTAGTATACATACTGATCCACTTCGTTTAAGAAATAATAAAATACAATACATTGAAAATCGAATAAAACAAACACTTGCATTACTCATTAATTTTTTCCTTTTACATCGAATAACTGTCTGTTATGGAAATATTGATGCAAATATTGGACCAAAACCATTTTTATTTTTTCAGGAACAAATACCTACTTTTCCATCACTTATTATGAAATATTCATGGCAATTGTTATCAAGTGTTGGATATCGTTTGCAAATTCAAATAAATAAAGAAAATTTTATCGAAAAATTACATAAGCTAAGTGAAGAAAAGAATAATCCTGATGAGTTATTTTATCGTGTATGTGTTTATCTTTCACGGATATTTTCATTGAAACCATTTGTTAATATAAATAATGAATTACAACATGCTATAGTTGAATCACAACGAAAACGAGACAATTGTGCTTATGGTTTAATTAGTAAAATAGATATTAAAGAAGAAAATGAAGCATATATACCATCGGTATCATTGACACCAACAACAATTCGAATAAAACCATTGAAACTATGTCGAACAAATCGAGTTCTTCGAGCTGTTGAACAATTTGGTCGACCACTTTATCATTTTGTTCTTGTTGATATTCGGGATGAAAATAGTCGACATTTAAAATCATTTCATTTTCGTGATTTACATTCATTATTACTTGATTATTTGGAAAATGGTTTTATACTAATGAATGATAATCGAAAATATAAATATTTACATCATTCTCAATCACAATTACGTGAAAGACAATTTTGGTTCTATCATCATAATGATTATGATGAAGATCCTAGAAAAATAAATCTAAGTTTTCCTGAAGCTTATACCTGGATGGGTAACTTTGATAAAGAAAAAAATCCAGCTAAATATGCGTCTCGTATGGCACTTTGTTTTACAACAACAACAGCAACAGTTCAAGTAAGTATTATCATAAGAAGTATTATCTATCATGTTTAGTTACAACATCTATGTTTTCTTTCGTAGGTGTCAAAAAATAATGTCCATCTAGGACGAGACATCGAGATCAAGATGAATGATAAAACTTTATTATTTACAGATGGTTGTGGTACTATGTCAATTGAATTGAGAAATAAAGTGAGTATTATTAATTGCGAAGTTTCTAAGATAAAATTCAATTAAAGTTTTTGACATATTCTCACATTCAAAAGACATAGCCAAACTCTTTTATTTGGTGAATATTTATGAATTACCAATAATAATTATTAACAAGATGTTTCTATGAAATAGTTTTTTGTCATCCTAATTGATGACTGTTCAGATTATTATTTATAGAATATGTAGACAGCTTTTCATAACTAAACTCAATTAGTAGTGTACAATCATGTTTAAGCTGTAAAAGATCAACGAAAAAAAAGGCGTTCGTATAATTGTTGCATTGATGTCAATGATGTTTATGTGTACTAATCTTCCAGTTTTCACTACACTCACTTCTTCGTGTATTGCATCGCATGTGAAAGATATAGAAACTTGAAAAAAATTGCTGCAATTAGAAAAGTAAAAGTTTTAGTTTCCATGAGACAGATTCAAACTTGACTATTTTTCGAATTAGAGCTGCCAGCCTGGCCTTCTACTTGCCAGGCAGCAGGTCAGGCGAGCAGGCCAGGCTGAATTTTAAAATTTTCGCCTGGCCTGATCAGGCTAGAAAATTTTTGGCCAGGCTAAAGTTCTTAACCTGGGTATGATCTAATACTAACCTTTACAGTATTCAATTCTAAGAATGAGACGACTTGACGAGTCAATGATGATTGCTTTTGATATTTTCTGTTGGTCATCAATTTAAATCAATGTTTTTATACGTTTTATAAGGTCTTTTGACCGTGTTTGTTACTATTTACTTTTCGCTTCTCGGATATTCAGAATTTTTCAATGTCTTTTTGAATTTTTTCCTTTGATTGTAAGCAGCTACTATTGTTTCTAGCTCTTTTTTTGTGTCAAAACTATTTAAAATACTTCTTACTGATTCAATCGTATACTAAGGAAGATTGCGCTACTCAGTTAAAGAGTTTCATGATTTTAACAGCTAGTCTAAACTAGAATCGAATTTAGAGTTTCGTTTAACGAAAGGGATGGCGAATCAGGTCTTGCCAACTTGTAAAATTATCGTGTGAATAAAAGTCATTAAACCGTAAGATTAGTAGAGAGTTTTAAGCTAATTCTGAGGAGTTCTCATGCGTACGTATTTAAGATTGAAGATACCTTACGTATCAGTAAGTACTTAAGATAATCGATACTTTTCATATTAACGTAGTTATAACTTTATTCCAAAAAAATTAAAATATCTTCACATGAATTCCTGAATTTCAACATCTACTTGATTGGCTACATGTTTGAAAGTGTTTCATTTCAGAAACCAGGGTCATATTCTTATGTCGAAGATTCGCATAAAACCGATCTTAAAATTGATTCATGACTGCTCTTAGTTGAGAATTAGCATACTACATTCTATTGCTTTCATGAGAACAAGTCGGATGACTAATTGAAACTTATACAATGAATTCATGCTAATTTGTAAATTTCATAATTATAAAAAACTTAAAACATTAATTCATTTGGATTGGCCTGCAGGCTGTTCATTGAATTTTAGCCTGCAGGCCAGATCAGGCTGAAAAGAGTTAGCCTGTTGACAGTTCTATTCTGGACCGGATTTGGATCAGAATCGTCGATACTGTGTCTTCTTTAGAATTTCTCATTCTTGTGCTTAGAAAAATAATTGTGAATTAAACACGTGAACTATTGAAATGAACATATCTTATGCCAGACAGATCTAGAAGTATGTTCTTTTTCTGTTTATCAAACTATTGTTTCTATATGTTTCTAAAAGTTTGACTTAGCTGTCTGTTAGAAGGTAAAGAAAAAGGTGGATTTTTTTTCATTGAAGTGTTTCTAATACTAAATTAATTTTCTGTAGAATTTAGAATCAGTAACATGAAGGTTTTTTCTATTGAGACCAGGCATGTCCAGTTGGAGTTGAATGTTTTTTAAAAACTTTTCTTGGTACGTCAATTTTAGAAACACTATGTCCTTGAGTAATCAGTGTTTTATTTCATATAAAAATATTTAAAAAAAAATCAAAAATAATTCAGATAAGAAAAGCATTCTTTTATCCATTAGTTTAAAACCTGTTTCATGGTAAGGTCTGCCACGATCATCCATAAACAATAAGGAGCATTGTAGTACAGTGCTCTTGGAGTAATCTATCTATTCACTGTTTGCGGTTATGTATACATGACATGAGTATTTTATTAGGTTTTTCTACTGTCTTGGAAAGATTCCCTGATAGCGAGCTTATATGCGTTCATGACCAAAAACCAATAATAAACAAACAGCAATATGGTATATATCATTGTATCATATATATATTTCTTGGATAAACACGGCACTACTCATAGTTGGTTCGATGAAACATGGTCCTCAGAGACTTACTCCGGCGATACTTAATTTCCAAACAGTTGTACTCCGACGAAGTTTGCTCTACTAAAATGTCCGATATCATTTTTCAAGAGTTATAGGTTATTATAAGCTAAGAAGCAGCTAGAATAGTTATAAAAAAGTGCGAAATTCAAAAAAAAGGGAAATTCACGAATCGGTTAGCAAATAAATATCAGTTTCATTGAATGTTCATGATGTTTTTAACGAGTAGAAGTTTGTCTAAATTCATACCTACACCCTCGAGGTTTTTCGGCTCCTACCTCCTTCTTTCGAATGCAGGCCTTAGACATCGACGAAAACACACATCAGACTATTTCAAGAGTTTCTTCGTAATATAAATGGCGCTAAACCACCTTAACGGCAAAACTTAGACTATTCCACAGCATTCCAAAGTCTGCTTCTAAATTCAAATGGTTGGTATGGGTTTGCTAATGTTCCAGATACTGCGCTATTTAGTTTTTGTGCAGTTAAAAATTTATATGTAAAATTTCAAGGATGATGGGTAGTGAGGCTTTGGTTTGCTACAGTCGTCATCTGGTCACCATAAAAAGGCATGAACTGATGAAATTATACTATTAGGGAATAATCAATAAAAGCGGTTGCAAGCTTATCGAGATATATAAGAGTACATTAAGACCTACTGTAGATGTAATGGATCTGTACACCAGGCTTAGCTGTCAGTTAAATCAATGATTAGAATAACAATGCAGTTTAGTTAAGAAATACGCAATATGGTGAAGGGAAATAACGAGCGAATGACAACAAGGTCAAAAAAATAGAACCATAGTAAAAAATAGAAAGAGTTTCTATCCGACATGCAGAAACAAATAAGACGCATTGCTTCTCTGATGATCAATTATCTTGGAAAACAACGTGATCTGCGAGAAATTTTTCACTTTACGCGCTTTGTATTAGTATAATGAAGCTAAAGAACACACGGAAATTGCACATTTCATACTGAAAGGGGCGGATCTAACAAGCTTTTCCCCTCTAATTCGCAGATAAAACAATTTCTTCGAAATCCAGACGACTTCAGTGTTATCCAATTTCGTTATGATGGTGCTAAAGGTGTCGCTAGCATTCATCCAGATATGCCAAGAGATGTTCATTTATTTATTCGGGATAGTATGAAGAAATTTGATAGTAATCATGATTGTTTTGAAGTATGTAAGCTCTCAGCACCTCGACCAATATATCTTAATCGACAAGCTATTCTTCTTTTATCATATCGACAAATATCTGATTCATCATTTCTTATACTTCAACAACAAAATCATCTTAAACTTATTCATTCTCTTTTACGAAATTCTGACGCAGAAAAATTAATTCATGAAAAGGTACCGTCATGGTTTTTGCCTAAAAATATACATGATGCAAATATTGATTTTATTCATGAATCATTTTTTCGACAATTACTGATTAATTCATGTTTACAATCAACAAGAGATTTACTTCAACGAACACGTATTCAAATTCCACCAAATAAAGGACGAAATATGTTTGGTGTTGTTGATGAATATAATGTTCTTAAACCAGATCAAGTATTTATTCAATATACAATATTCGATAGAGATCGAAAAAATAATAATGATGATAATAAAATTAAGACTGAAATTCTTGAACAATGTAAAGTTGTTATTACAAAAAATCCTTGTCATCATCCAGGTGATATTCGAACATTTATTGCTATTAATCATCCGAAATTAAAACATTTAAAAGATGTTGTTGTTTTCTCACAACAAGGTGATCGTCCAGCTCCACATGATATTAGCGGATCAGATTTAGATGGAGATGAATATTTAGTTATTTGGCATGAAGATCTTGTTCCAAACAAAACTGATAATGCACCACCTTATGATTATGATTCACAAATACCTGCTGAAAAGTTTGATCGATTTGTAACAAGACATGATATTAATAATACCATACTTAGAATAGCTGAACAAGATTGTTTAGGAAGACTATCTAATTTACATTTAGCTTTTGCTGATAAATTTGGTGTTGATAATAGTAACAGACCAGCAGACGATATTTTATCAACAATTGAATTAGCTGGTGCAATCAGTCAAGAAGTTGATAGTGGTAAAACTGGTTATCATCCATTGAGAGAAGATGAAATCATTCGATTAAATAATGCACTAGAAAATAAACGACCAGATTTTATGGATAGTCTTTTTTTCGAACAATACGAATCACCATATATTCTTGGTATGAAAATGGATAAGTTTTCTTTTTTTTATTTATTCATTTTTTTCTCTTTTATTTTAAACTATGTAGGAAAACTATATCGGGCTTCGAAGAAAACATTACCTGCATGGAATCGACTTCTTCGATATCATCGTCATTTACGACATTTACAAGTTCGAACACGAGATGAATCTGATGAGGAAGACGATGAAGAAGAACTTAGAAATGATGATGAGGAAACGAGAATTAAACTTGATCAGTCTCTTCTAGACGCTGTCGATCGTCAACATCCTGAATATCGAGATTGTGCCGACTTTGCCAAAACAATCGCTTCAGTTTATCGACAAGAAATTTTTGAAATTCTTAATTTATATGGTTTATCACATGAAAGTGATTTATGGTGTCGAAATTCCATTAATGGTCTTACTGGTGAACTTGAAGATACTGCCAATACAGAACTTGAACAACTCGTAAATCGTACAAGAACTCGTTTCTTTAATTATCAAGCTAGTTATTGTGAAACAGGCAACTGTCATGATGATACATTAGTTTCCAAATTATGTAAAGCATGTAGAAAACGACAAGAATCTGTGGTTGTTGCTTGTTATTATGCCTGTTATGCTGGGGAATATGCATCAGAACAAGTATCAGTTTTAAGTTTACCATGGTTATTTGCTACACCTCTTTTACAACATCGAATAAATAAAGAACCACTATTATCAGAAGGTTTACTAAGTATAGCAATGAGAAAAGGTCTTCATAGACTACTTTTCAATCAATGTCGACTTCAGTTAGACGGCTTGACTTTACGATTTCAAACATCAGGAAAAAGTCTCGTTGATGAAGCTAATGTTGATTTGACAGTTTGTGCATTCATTGAAATACTTCAACAATGTATTGGATCAAAACATAATCTATATTGGCCTTGGATAATTAGTCATTTTGTACGAAATACATCATCATTTGTACTCAAATCAGGGCAATCTATACCAACTGATGAATCGAAACTCATTTTACGATCTCATAAAATAAATGATTACGATGAGTATGCTGGTTTACTCATCTCAATGAGCTGGACGGAAAGAGAAGATCATACAATGCATGAATATTTCCAGAATATTCTTGACATCTGCTTTGATAAAGGGCGGCAAACAAATGACATAGGTTTTCTTAACATCAGTGAAGACATTATATTATTATTACAAAAAATGGCTATCAATGAAATAATTATTTAGAACAAACGAGAGCCCGTGCATACTGCACGGCTACTTTTTTCCTGTAAAGTTTCACATTTGTGCTTTATCCTTGATTTTATAATAGAGAATCAGACACTTCGCATTATATATATAGACATTATCCCTTGTAGTCTTACCCCCTTGTAGCATTATACTCTGATGGTATTAGCTCTCATAGCCTTATTCCGTTATTCCCTTATTCCTTATATCGCATGCAATCTTATCTCCTTCTCCCTTATACTCTTGTAGCTTCATCCCTTATGCTTCTGTAGCCGTATCCACTTATCCTATTATAACGTTATACCCTTATCTCTTTATAGCCTTATACACTGATCCCTTATCGTCTTATATCCCTGCAGCCTTATATCCTTATGATCTTTGACCTCTGACTCGGTACAGAGAAACAGACAGACACTGAACATTATATATATATAAGAAACAATGCAAAACCTATACATTCCTTGATGCTTTGATTGCGCTTATTGTGTCTTTTTTAACACTAGAGGTTTACGGATAACGCTCAAAAAGTGTCCAGACTGATTTTATTTAAAAACAACAACAACAACAACTGTTACCATGCTAAGAATTATTCTCTATGTGTAGTTTCGTACAAACCACTAGCGGTAGACATAATACACTCTGCTCAATCAAACTTACATATGAAAGTATAGAAATATATTTTTAGAGACTCTAAAGGCAATGGCAGAAAATTAACAAAAGCTTAAGTATTGCTCTCTGATAAATTTTTTCGTTCTGAACAGTTATGTTTATATTATGTTTTGACAATATGATGATAGTATATGATTTTATATTTGAAATAATCTAAACATTAATGATATAACTATTAACTTGTAAAACTTTGATTATTGAAAACAGTAGAATTGCAGCTGTATAAATAGTAGGCATTGATTAGGTTTCATTGTATTGGCGATATTGTTTTATACGTACAATTACATATAAGTAAAATCAAACCACAAAAATGCGCCATTTTTTAACATCATGTCAATGACATATCGATCATATGTAAAACTATCATCACAACTTAGTTATTTACTTTTAAAAGGACAAGTCCATTTAATATCATAAAACATTAACATTTTAAACTGTTATCGTGTATACTATTCGTAATTACTGGATAACAATGACTATTTGAAGGCATGAGTTTTTGTTTAAATTTCTAGTTTTCTATCAGTGTATTTAAGGTGATCTAAAATGTATTTCTATATTTTCGTAAATATGTTTAATTCAGCAAAGGATATAATAGCTATAGATAGAGTGTATGAATTACACATAGACAATCATATTTATACAGCAACTCTTCTTCTTGTTTTTACAATGAAATCAAGGCAGAAAGCTTTTTCAACGTTATACATATCCATGAGAAATTTAGTGTCACTGTTTATTATATACCAGAATTTTGCATATTTAAGAAAGAAAGCTTCTCTTTTACTTTGTTTGAAATTAGTTTAGGCTACAGTTTAATTCAACTTGAAATATTTGGATCGTCTGAGATGTAACTTACAGTAAACTACAAATAACATTTTGTAAAATAATTTCAATTGTTGACTCGAAGAAAAATGCATGGTTTTCATCTACTCATTCGAAATAGTAAATTTTTCAATTTTGAAGAAGAATCTCTTAAATAAATACTGAAATTATCTCTTGTTGGTTATTTTAGGGTTACGGATGTGCAATTTCAGTTTATTGGCCACTGATTCAGTGTAGTTTGTACACAATGACTACACGGACACTAGTGTTCACTAAAGCATTGCAACATACAGCTAGAAAAATGACACATTTTGATAAAGTTGGTGTGTCAATGTTACAGTGAACGCGCATGTCCATGTAGTTAGTGCTTCAGTAAGCAGCAATGCCACCGTAATGAGTATTCTAATGGGTCCTGTATCTATACCTCACTGCCAGTGTTTATATCAACACAGCACATTCCTATTTATCAACATTACAGTTTGTCTAATTTATGACATAGTTCTTTAGAATGACTCTTTGGAACGCTCGAGTTTGAAAATTATCTTATTGAATTCAGGCAACACATCAGAGTGCAGTCTTTATTTATCTCTCAATAGTTACATTGACTTTTGTGATTTCTTTATAAAGAACAAAGTAAACAAAAAGAAAAACCTTCTCCTATATTTACAGTTTTGAACATATTGTAGCTTTCTCTCATGAAGTTCTACTAAACTTTTTCGGGATATTGAACTGATATTTTGAGTTCATTCCTATGACAATATCTCCTGATTGCAAGCATCAACCTGTCTCACATAAGTTCACATGTACTGGATTTATGATTCACACATGATCTTTCTTTTGTTATCATTCTACTTGAATCAGGTTGGCCAAAATATTTTCGTCCAATTCTCATTCGAATAGTCAATGAGCTAGCTAATTCTAGTAAGAATTTCGTCAAAACGTATATTCAAGTAACTGAGATATTGTCCTCTTGTTAAGAATGTGTGTTGAAAAACATATACTGGTTTTTAGTATGACGGACCTTTTCCACAATAACTCTGGCCAATTCACTTGAGAATTTTCTATTAAAATTCTCACTAAACAATAAGTCTCTTCTGGAAGTTTTAGAAACGTACATTGATTCACATTAAGTTAGGACTATGAAAAGGGTTCACTTTCTTAGAGCATCCTAATTACTAAGGTCTTACTTATATGTCACGAACTTTGATGATAGTAAAGTAGACGTAGGGAACTATCTTTAGCATTAGAAAAATTGTAGTAGTTTATGAAATAACAAAATCAAGAATAAAAACTTTTTGATTGCATATGTCCACTGAATTTGTTTTTCAAAAAAGGAACTTTATGTTTAAATCATATTTGGAACCAGTCGTAATTTTTTCGACCAGATTGAGCCAGCCGGTTAAAAGTCTTGACATACTGGCTGAAAAGCCAGTGGGTATAATATGTCAATTAAGCAATCAGTTCACTCGGAAAAATGTTTATTACTTTCATTCTACAAAGACATACAATGTAGAATTCATATAACTCTAGGAGTTTTTAATAGTAACTAGTAACTCACAGCAGCTAATATTCAACAACATTTATACTGTGATCTGACTGACTTTTTCCCAGAATGATATGATTTCTTTATAACTATTAAATTTGATCTATTCGTATTCGAAATAATTATTTAATACAGCTGAAAGACATCCAAACTCGTAAAAGGATACTAATACTGACAGAAAGATACGGTGAACTGACATGTACGGTTTTTATATTAGACTTCTTAATTTAAGGTTTTTTAATATCTTAATATTTTCATAGTTGCATGATGCTGATAGTTGATAAGATCTGAACAGCAGAAGAGCATATTTTCTAATATTTAGTAATGAAAGCATCAATTGAAAGCAACTAGGTATTGAAATTTCAGGATAGTCAGTTACAAGTAGTCCAAAATAAAATGAACTCGAAATTTCGAGGTGAAAAATGTTTAACTTAGTCCAATATTAATTGTAATATCTGGCTAACTTTTCGTGAGCGTAATAAACTCATTCAGCATCATTCGAAGCTCACATCCTACGATGAGATTGTGTTAGCTCAATAGTTGGAGCTAGAATTCTTACGAAGAGTAGACATTTGTCAGTTGAAGACTTCGAGGTTCACATTTCATGATCATGAAAACCATGGAAATTGTTAAGAATGAGCAAGATAGGCCAGCTTTAATACCCTAAAAGTCAATAAAAACACCGATAAAAATTGACTGATCCAGTATTAGTCCCAAGTATAGTTTGAACCGTAAATTCAGTACATATGAACCTATCAAAATAACATTGGTGCGTGAAGGTGTGAGTGTATCGTTGCACACATATACCCAAAATGTTAGTTCAATGTCATCAAGTAGAGTAGCAACTACAGTTGTCCAGAACTGCATATATAAATATAAATGCCTCCGAAAATAGTTTAAAATTTTTCGATCTATTCAATCTACCCTGTGATATAATCAACTTATTTCTCGTTATTTGACGATAGCGCCGTCTATGAATAAGACTTCATTTATTATTGGTCAATATTTGTGCTATGGAATTATTTTCTTTCCCGTGCTTGTTTGATCGATACATCATCGCAAAAAATATTTTGTTTTTTTTGTAAATCACCTAAATCATTCCAAAATTTCACAATGATGGAATTCGATAATATACCTCTTGATAATGATTCCAACAATGAAAATAAAATTTTATCATCATCATTATTAGACGAAATAACTTGTGCGATCTGTTTGGATATATTTGAAGAACCAAAACGAACATCATGTTTACATGTAGCATGTCGTCGATGCCTAGAAGAATATCATCATTCATGTAAAAATGAAATGGATGTTGCAACTTGTAAGTTTTGCATATTTGATTGAATCACTAGAAAACAAAACAATTTATTATTATATTAGGTCCACAATGTCGAGCACCATCGATTCATTTACCTAATGGTGATGCCAGTTGTCTTCCACCAGCAATTGATAAAGAGCAACTTATAAAAATTTACAGACACAAGCAAGATATTGAAAATAAACATATTGGTAAATATGAAAAAAAAAAGAATTTCTTTTTTTTGTCTATAATAAATAAATTTTAGGTCAATGTTCTTTGTGTCAAATGGATTCTGTTAATCTCCATGGCCGATGTTTTCAATGTCAAGAAAATTATTGTCAAACATGTTATGGATATCATGCACATTTTTATCCAGCATCATTACATCTCTCTCGTACATTTGATGAAATTCGTCTTTTACCTAAAGTTCCAATTCAATTAGATGAAACAATATCATTTACATGTTCACAACGACATAATAAGCGTCCATTAGAATTCTATTGTACTAAATGTTGTGAATGTCTTTGTTCGGAATGTCTTATTGATGAAAATATGTTGCATCATCGACAACAATATCATACAATAAAACTTTTATCACAAATAGCACAAGACAATCGTTATCAATTAGAGCGTCTTTATGTAAATAAATTAAAATCTATTCATAAAGAA